GAGAGAGAGAGAGTAGATAGATAGAGTGGAGATGCATATACTAAATATAATGAGGAGAGAGAGAGAGAGAGAGGAGAGAGAGAGAGAGGAGAGAGAGAGAGAGAGAGAGAAGAGAGAGAGAGAGAGAGAAGAGAGAGAGAAGAGGGGGGGGGGGAGAGAGATAGGGAGAGAGGAGAGAGAGAGAGAGAAATAGAGAGAGGGAGAGATACAGAGAGGGAGATATATATATATAAGAGAGGGAGATAGAGATAGAGAGAGGGAGAGATAGAGATAGAGAGAGATAGAGATAGAGAGAGGGAGAGATAGAAAGAGGGAGAGATAGAGAGAGGGAGAGATAGAGATAGAGAGAGGGAGATAGAGAAAGGAAAGAGAAAGAGGAGGAGAGATAGAGAGAGAGAGATAGAGAGAGGAGAGGGAGAGATAGATAGAGAGATAGAGATAGGAGAGATAGAGATAGAGAGAGGGAGATATAGAGAGGGAGAGAGAAAGAGGGGAGGGGGAGATAGAGAGGAGAGAGAAAGAGGGGAGGGAGAGATAGAGAGAGGGAAAGAGAAAGAGGGGAGGAGAGAGAGAAACAGAGATAATTATGGTTGGGGAAGCCTGTGTAGCATTTATAGCAATGATCCTTTTCTTTATTTACACAAATAATATGTAATACATAAAGCATCTTTCCAAAATCAATGTCTATATTTTCTGAGAAAGAGAGAGTTTCAGACCCTTGGCTTGCACGTTTGCAGTCTGTAAAAAGACAATTTTATAGTTTCTATAAAAAAAAAAAATCCATTTAACATAATTATACAAGTATGATATGCATTTAAAATTTTCATGATACCTAAGTATCTTAAGGCATGCTTGATTTCAATACAGTTACAGTGTCTGCAGCGGTTACTTTTAAATTTGAAGATTTAATAGAAATAAACTACAACTCTGTTGATCAGGAAATAATTCATATTCTTAACATACCATTCCTTAATCTACTCAAAACGTTCTGATGTTACATTAACATTGCCACTACTCATTCCCATGTACAATGGTAATTCAAAACTCAAAATACTATCGTTTAACAATGGTAACCTTTCAATACTTACAGCTAAGGTTTTGGTCTGGGCAAGCATGGAGAAGTCTAGAATCTGAGTTTCCATTAGTATAATTTCCGGATGAAAAGTGGAAACTGCATACCCTGTAGCTTTTGTTGTGATGTGCATAACTCTTCTTGAATAAACTTGGTAACTGAATAACTTCAAGCCATTTAGCACACCTAAAAAATGTCAAAATACACTAAAAAAATACGTTCATATGTAATATATATGCACAATTATTTTTTTTTGAAAATGGCCAGCCTATGGCAGGGAAGATCCATTTCAATACTATGAAAAACGAAATATTAATATAAAAAATAAATACATTATGTAAAGTCTGTATCAGCATTACAAATTAAGATTCAGAAAAATAGTAAATGGTGTCAACGGCAATTGAAATAGTTACTGCATATCGATTTACTATGACGGCAGATAGGCCTATTTCTACTAACCTATTTCTACTACACAAGTTTTTAGGATTTCCTTATCCAATGAAAGAAACATTATATTATATCGATTTCATTATGCAAGATGTAAGTAATGGCACTCACAAAGAAAATGCTTCTACTAAGGGTAAATAAGTTGACTGTGAAATGCATATAAATGTATATATATATATATATATATATATATATATATATATATATATATATTATATATATATATATATATATATATATATGCATGTGTGTTGTGTGCGCGTGTGCGCGCGTATATATAATATTATATATATTATATATATATATATATATATATATATATATATATAAATATACTCATTAACTACCATACCGAACTCGTATGGTTTTGTGGGGAAAGAGGTATTATTGTAGGAAGGGGGATTTTTAGCTTGGAAATGGTAGATCACTGCTATAAATAAATGTAAGAGTCGTTTGAATGAGACCAAAATACTCTAAAACAGATAATGTAAGCAACAGAAAAAAAATCATCGGTTAAGTTTTCTCATTTTCTCTATTTTTTTGTGTGAAAATTGTTTTCACATTATAACAAACTGTTTTATACTAGGCAGTAATCTTTTACATACAATAATTAGTGATAGTTTATACAGTTTACATAATTAATGACAAGGTATTTGTTGGAGATTAGCAGATCACGTATTACACGCTCTGCCTTGCATTATACTAACTTTTCCCTCCTTTTGTAATCCCTTGCATTATTTTAAATCATCAAACAAAAATACCTAGAAGATGATTTGACACTTCGTTACGTATAGATACATTTGACTTTTATGAAACAATCTCGACATACAGTAACACAAGATAATGACCACTCAGTGATTCTGAAGCTATTAAAACTTCATATCTATTATTGATTTTTGATATATGCATACACAGTCCATACATTTCATACGGTTATATACAGTTCCGATATATTACCTCTGTTTATCTCCTGGGAAAGTGTGAAACACAAACTCTGGATGCGTTTCTTTCCTGTTATCACGTAGAACACGAGGATGCGCGGCATCCCAGTCACTATGACAGTCCGCAGGCTTCGAAAATGTAAACGAATTGGTGATACCTATGCTTTGCTACTGCCATCTATCGGCCTGACGCGGAACTACTGTATGTAGATAGCACGTGAATTTTCGGAGCTTTCCTATCTTTCGTGATTATGTCCTCGGAAAGATTTTCCGTGTTTTGCTTATTGCCCAGAGATGACGTTGCAATCACTTTGTAGTTATCACACATCTAAAGATCTTATTAATTCAAACACATGTTTGAAGCAAAGTAATGAATCCCTACAACCCAGCACTGGCCTCCCTTCCTCCTCCATTCAGGAATCTGCCCCTTTACTACACAGCGATTGCAGCGCCAATTCTGGGCAATAAACAAAACACGGAAAAAATCCTAGGGCTTTAGTCCCAGCCTGTACATGCCGTTGCCTATTTTGTGTAATTGTTTTTACGTATAGATGGCTCTACAAGTACTGTTACCAATAAGACAATTACGCGAACTACCTGTCTCGCCTGTTTACCCTTTTCCTTGATTTTCGATTTTTTCAAATGTTACTGCTGTTAGTAATATCAGTAACAATATAGCAATTAAAATGTTTATAACAAAAATGTGTCAATATTGATAACATTAGTAATAAAAAAAGCATTTTCCAGTTTTTCAAGGAAAACTGAGGTCCCAAAATCTGACTGACTCCTTTGTGGCTAAGCATTGGCAGAGCCATCTATGTGCAGAAACATTTAACAAAGCATTGCCAAAGGGAACTCACCATTTTCCCGTCGACTTTGGGATATACACATGCATGTACTTATGTATATATATACACACATGCACATATATATATCTATACATATATGTACACATATATGGGTGTACGTGTGATCACACACACATATGTATGCAAGTGCAACGTACTCCTGAACGGTATCTTTATTCATTCTTTTACTCTATCTCTTCATTAGTAGATACGTATGAAAATCGAGGAAGGTGTAAAATAAGTGTATGGATTTAATTCTTTTTATTCAGCTATATCAAATTGGATATTTTGTTTTGTGATGAAAACTGCCATAGCAACGGGTGTTGATACAAGGTCGATCCTAAATCTGTGAGGTCACTGTAGCTGGGCATGACCTTTTCTACCAGCGTCTGTAATGACTACGGAAACCATAGCCCCCATAACCATACCTACGCCCCCCATGTCCCCAAGGGTCAGGGTCAGCCACGGGGTCAGGGCCAGCCACGGGGTCAGGGTCAGCCAATGCGAGGGCGTCGGGCATGGCGCGAGCGGACCCCAAGAAGCACGCTAGGGCCGCCACCATGGCCACCAAGAAGGAGATCTGTGAAAATGAGCCAGTCATGTTTCAACTCGTTAAGTCATACATAGATTCCAAATCGTCATGGCTGGTTTTTAAAGGCGCAAATGTTTACAAGATTGAGTCACACAAACACACGCAGAGAGAGAGAGAGAGAGAGAGAGAGAGAGAGAGAGAGAGACTTAAGACTGACTAAAAAAGAAAGTCAAAGCGGATACTCCTTATTTAAATAGAAAATAAAATGATTGATTTTGTTTTCCACAAATACGGCCTCTGGTATTTTTTTATTTATTTTTTTTTATGAATGCAAGTTTATAAGTAGATAGACTGGCTCTTAAGGAATATTTGTATTTTCAATCCTCAAGATTAATATGCCAACAAAAAGTAGCTAAGTAAACATATCCATAACATTATAAATCGCTTGAACTGATCAACACCAAAGAAAGCTGCTAATCCCATAGCATTTGAGGATACGCCAACTGAGACGCTCATCTTGGAACAGAGGGGAGTGGATCTTCGTGGATATTTGTATTTTCAACCCTATCAAAATCAGTTTTAATTCGTCCCTTGAAAACATTTCAAAACAAACACTTAAGATCAACTACCAGCAAATAGTAGCTAAGTGAACATATCCATATTCTTGGACTTATGAACACCTAAGAAGAAAGCTGCTAGACCTATAGCATTTAATGATGCACTGACTGCGACTCTCACCAGCTTCATCTTGGGACAGAGAGGAGTGTGCTGTCTCGGTGCAGGCTGAGTGCAAGATGCGCTGCTCTCGTTTCTTCCGAGCCTTTTTATACCCCATGATGAGCACTGGGGTTCCCCTTGGATTCCCTGGAGACCCACAGCTCAGGGGCATCGCTTTTTTGATTGATTCAGTCATATTCAGTATCATTATTACTATTAATGTTTTTACAGAATCTTAGTTAAGTGATTGGCTGTTTGCATACACACGTGCGTGTATATTTGTCTGCGCTTATATGTATGTATGAGTGTGTATTTGTGTTTGCGAGTATGTACTTATATTACGTAGGGAGTTAGATACGAATATCAATATGTATGCTTTTACACACATATATACATGCACTCATACACACACATCCAAACAAAGCTAAAAAAAAACTAAAAAATCCATAACTTCTCAGAAATGTACATCCGAGCGACGCCTTGATTTTTTTTTCTTTGTCAGTGTTTTCTCATAGTTGTATTCAGTACATATATATATATATATA